CACTTGGCCTTCTCCGCCGCCGCAATGCTTTCCGGCGTCTGCTCGAACTTTGTCATCCGTGCCGCGGTTTCCTGGATCATCAGGCAGAAGAGCTCGGACTTTAGGCTGCAGCCGACCTTCATCTGATCTCGGAGCTCGTTCCATTTCAGCGAGGCCTGGATCAATGGCTTTAGGATGCCGTGGGGCCCGGTGCTGACGTGGAGCAGGAAGGACTTCTCCTGTCGAAGCTCGCTGAGCTCCGTCTCCTGTCGCAGGCACAGCTTGGCCATTTGCATGTTGTTTGAATTTGAACAATAAAGCTCTATCTTCTCCAAGTATTCAAAGAACGAAACAGAAAACCAATCTTTGAGATCTAAACTTTGATTTCAAACTTTGACATCACACTTTAATTTGACTTTGCAGCAACGTTCAAGTTAACCGTTAACCTGAACTTCGGAACCTGAGGTTGGGGTTCGAGTTAAGCTGACCTTCCGAACCCGAGTTGAGGTTGGGATTAACCTGAACCTGAACTTTCGAATCCGAGGTTGGGGCTGGGGTTGACCTCAACCTCAACCTCCGAACCCGAGGTTGGGGTTGGAGTTTAGCCCCAACCCGAACCTGGGGTTGGAACTAGAGTTGAACCTCAACTCCCAACAAAAGTTCAAAAGTTGAAGTTAACTCCAACCCTAACCTTAGGTTGACGTTCAACCCGAACCCTAACCTGGGGTTAGGGTTCAAGTAATTGTAACTTTTAGCTGGAAAGGTTGTAACTTTGTTTAACCCAACTTCTAACCTGCCCCCGTGGAGTATTATGGTGCTCGTTGCTCTCCGCACATGAACAGCACCCAGGAGGAGATCGGTCACGCCTTATGCGTCGCCGCGGCGTCTCTTAGAGGGCGACTGCTCGAAGCCCAATTGTACAACAATCACTCTATGTACTATGCACGTAACTCGACGGTAACTCGATGCACTTCACTCTATGTACCATGCACTTGACTCTATGTACTTCACTCTATGTACTATGCACCTCTCTATGTACTATGCGCGTAACTCGATGTACTTCATTCACTCTATGTCACTATGTACTGTGCACGTAACTCGATGCACTTCACTCTATGTACTATGCACTTGACTCTATGTACTTCACTCTATGCTATGCACCTCTCTATGTACTATGCGCGTAACTCGATGTACTTCATTCACTCTATGTCACTATGTACTGTGCACGTAACTCGATGCACTTCACTCTATGTACTATGCACTTGACTCTATGTACTTCACTCTATGTACTATGCACGTAACTCGATGTACAACCTTAAGCAATACTCCCGATTCGAATCGTACTCCGAGTTTGTGCTCTGCCACGACCTCGGAAGGTAGGTCGATCGCGTTGTTCCCTGCCAGGACATTGGCGAGATCTGCTACCATGCCTCTGAGAATGATCTCGATCTTTGCTTCTGGATCGCGAATCACGTCTGCGACGTAAATGTATGAACCTTGCAAAAAAACGCAGGGTTGTGAAAAATGTCCATCGATTTTGCCTGTCCACTCTCAAACAACAATCATGCGTTTTCTTTACCAGACGAATCGAAATACTTCCAATCCATGCCTGATTGCGCCAAAGCCACCCCGAGCCGCCTCCAAGCCACTCCAAGCGTCCCGAGCCACGTCCAAGCCAGCTTCGAGCCACCGCGAAGCCACCTCCAAGTTTCCAAGCTGCGACAGTGCAATGATTGGGGTTTAGGCCGGAGGGCCAAACAAAAGTAAAGTCGGTAGCGCTTTGGAGCTGAAGGCTTTTGTCAACACAACACGACAAGGTGGGACAACATCATGGTCTGCGCGTGCTGTTGTGACTGTATCCCGGCGATTCTGCGGACGCTCGCCACATCTTTCGCACAGTTGCGGAAATGTCGCCTGAGACGAAAGCACTTTAGTCACGGGAGAGTCTTCAGAAGAGTCAGGCAGTGGATGGGGCCCTTGCATTCTCCACAGGCAATACCAAGCCCTTTTTCTGTGCGGTTTATTGTTGTGAGCGACATTGCCGATCAACATGGTGGCCTTCGGGTCAAGCAAGGCTATGGCCTATGAGATCACGCATGTTGCGGAGCCAGGTCGGACGGGCGCGTCCCTTCCGACAGTTTTGGCCCACGCCAAAATAAAATCAGTGAAAGAAGTTTGCTGTAAAACTTACAAACCCCAAACCAACAGGAACCATACACCCGCAGCAAGGTCTGCTTTCTTCCCTCGCACAGCAGTTCAGCTGTTCTTGCACTGCACTGCTCTGCTGTCGTAAAACTTCACATGGACCTCAGACGTAACTATCATCACTGGCGCATAACTGCAACGTAGCTTTAGCTTCTTCGGAGCTTTAGCTTTCCTTCTCAAAGCTGCGCGGCCTTGAGCCACACATATTGCGCGGCTTCTCAGATTCACATGCGCTGCTATAGTAGCTATAGCACACGCCCAAAACAAAACTTGCTCCAAAAACATGCGGTTGACAACAATCATGCACATGAGGTTCGTGTTCCAAACAAGCTCACAATCACTCCAGCTGCATCTGATGTTCGAGAACGGCCGAAAGGCCTTCGAGATCTTCCGAAACTTAAGGCAACCTCAAGACACAGCTCACTGCATCTCACTTCTGTGAAAACGGTTCTCGTAGCTGTAAACGTGGTCCCAGGCTGTGAAAACCCAGATTGGAAACTGTGAATATCGCATGAAAATTCCAGGAATAGCAGAAAATCCAGCACCACAAGCTGCAACTGCAACCGGCAAGAGAGGTTAGACCAGAACAGGTCAGAAGGAATCCATTAGGCCAAATGGAAAAACGAGGTTCCGGACACTTCCTGCCAGAGGGAAGCCCTTGGGCCACATGGAAAAACGAGATTCCGGACACCTTCTTCGCAGTCAGGGACTTCGAAGTGACAAGAGCGTGTCACAGTCTTTCCGAGATAAGGTGCCGGGAATGTTGACTCGCAGCATGCCTTGACGGGGAGCCCCGGTCTTGTGTCGCCATTCGCTCAAGATCTCGCGTTGCAACGTAAGGGTGGAAGGATCATCAGTGGGTGCCACATTGCTGGTAAGCTCCGTAAGGGTAGGGCGATGCTGCGTGGATTGGACATCCAGAGCCTGTATCAGCTCGCTGAAGTCATCTTGCCATATGCAAGGGCAGCCCGTACTGTAAAGCTCATCCGCAAAGGCAGGGTCCTCTTGACTCCCGCTCCTGCGCTGACAGTGCGCTTGAGGACGGCTGCCTCGCTTGTCATATCCCGCAGCCGACAAAGTCATCATCGCTGAATCGGAAGGAAGCCAGGTCGAACCCTGCCCCCACTAGCACACATAGTCGGTAGCGAAGGAACCTCATGAACTCCTGCGTTGTGTGATCAGCGGCGATACGCGAAGTAAAAGCAACCCGGCAGTGTGGCGACCGCCCACTTCGTGTTGCGCTTGTCCACATCATTTCCGTAACGTCACTGCCCACTTCCGCACGCCCCCTGATGCCACGGAAATGTAATTCCTCGAAGCTTCATAGAGCCGGAAGCTGAACCCCTCACCCTTTAAGCTCGTAAGCCAAACAAGGAAAGCTTGCGTGCGTCATCCACATCAAGCGTGACGACGTATGGGTCCGCTGTGTCGAAAACAGAAAAGAAGTGGCGAGAGACACAAGCCTGCCCACGTTGTCCCGTTAGCGCACATGAAGCTGGGCCGATTTGGGCCTGAGTTATCGAAAACCACAACCAAGGCCGTGGCATCCACGATGGGCGGAAAAGACATGCCATCGCTGGTGGAACTCCCGTACAATCTGTGGGCCCTGGCATCTGCTACGCTTTGCACCAACGACAAAGGTCAGAAGTGCCTGGACGAGCATGTAACTCGTACATTTGGAGGTGGACGTGCTCCAGGCTGGCAATGGCATGTTGCGGAGCGCACAGTGGTTTGGTCCCTGCCTCCATTCAAGGAATTGTGGAGTCTCGGAGAAGTGAAGGACAACTTGAGCGGAAACAACCAAGCAATAAGTGCCGGGCGCGGCGTCGCGCGCGGTAAACTAACTTAACCACTTAAAACGCCGCGCCGCCCGCAGGGCGAGCGTCAGCCACGCCGCTCCAGATGCCACGCCCCCTTTTTCGCTGGCAAGCGCACCCAAAACCGCTCCGAAGGCGTGGCGCCTGGAGCGGCGCACGCCCTGACTTGGTTGCCAAGCCCTTGCCTGGAAGGCAGGCCTCCAAACACCACCTCAAAACCTTCGCCTGTCAGGTCAAGTCTCCCAGAACCACGTCTGCTACTTTGACTTTAGGTCCAGACAGTCAGCACCGCCTCAAAACCTTGCCCTCTAGGGTCAAGTCTCCCAGAACCACGTCTGCCACTTTGACTTTGGACTCCAAGGTCAAGTCTCCCCGCAATACGTCTGCTACTGCGACTGCGAATCCAGGCAGTCAACACCACCTCAAAACCTTCGCCTGTCAGGTCAAGTCTCCCAGAACCACGTCTGCTACTTTGACTTTGGGTCCAGACAGTCAGCACCGCCTCAAAACCTTGTCCTCTAAGGTCAAGTCTCCCATAACCACGTCTGCTACTTTGACTTTGGACTCCCAAAGTCAAGTCTCCCCGAAACACGTCTGCTACTGCGACTGCGAATCCAGACAGTCAACACCACCTCAAAACCTTCGCCTGTCAAGTCAAGTCTCCCAGAACCACGTCTGCTACTTTGACTTTGGGTCCAGACAGTCAACACAGCCTCAAAACCTTGGGGTCTCAGGTCAAGTCTCTCAGAAGCACGTCTGCTGCTGTGACTGCGCGACCGAACAGTCAACACCACCTTTAAGTCAGAGCCAAACTCTCAAAACCACGTATGGTCTTTTGACTTCTTGGCCAAAGCGCCCAAAACCCATTTTTGCTATCACAAAAACTAAAACAAAATCTCTAACAGAACATCCTAAGTCCTAAAGGTCCTAAAATTCGCAAAGTTTAAACAGAAGAGCTGCAAAGCATATTTCTGCGCTGGCAGCGGCGCAGTTGCGGTTTCAGCTGAGCAACCGAATTGGAATGCCTTCATACGGGTCGGCATCCGAAACTTCGCAAACTTCGGGCTCACTCTCGAGATCGGCAAAAGGATTCTCATCATCGGGGGGCACATCAGCGCCACCAGCTGGAATGTCTTGGACATTTGGAGCTGCTGCCCCTGCAACTTGCCCTTCAACAAGTTGCGGGTTTTCGGCAGTTGGCGCCTTTCCATCACCCAAAAATGGCTTTAGAGTTTCCCAAGAAGCACTTCCGACAGCTGTTCGCTCAGCCTGGCGAAGTGCTGCGAAAACTTGGAAACAGTCTGCATAGGAAAACCAAAACAAAAACTGAAACACCCGCATCCTTTCGTGAAGCGTTCGAAAGTTTGCGCTGTTTCAGGAGTGGGTCCTGTTGTGTTGAAAGACCGCTTGCTCACCTCTCTTCTAAACGATGCGAAGAAGCCATCAAGCTTCTGAGTGCCACCTACCCTAATTTCTTCGGTCCAAGCGCGCCCTGTCCAAACTTTCATTCGGAACATTCGGGCAAACTCTGGGTGAGGCGGCTTTTGCTTGACGTTGCTGTGGGCTAGCTTCAACTCAGAAAACGAAGGCCCTGCCAAGGCACCGCTGCACAAAGCTGGCAACGGTTCGTCAGAGGCCAACTTCTTGTAAGCTTTAGCGGAATCCGTATGGCACACAGAACCTTGTGCCAAGCGACTGCTTCCCTTGGATGTGACTACAAGCTTCTTAAGCTCATCAATGGATAGAGGTCCCCCTCCGCCCTGCCCAGCAGCAGTCAAGCGGTTCGGCAACTTCTCTATAAAGACTTTAGCACTTCCACGCTTGACGGCTGCGGCATAACGATTCCACAGGATCTTGTCGTCAAGCGCCTTCGATCTGAAGCTAATCTCATCGAGCTCCACATCTGCACCCAACGCACCAATCACCAAGTCCTTCATCGAGCACTTTAAAGTTGTAACTACAACTTCTAAATCTTGTCATGGCCTTAAGAATCAAGCCAAGCATAAAAGTTTGTCAGTCCTCGTTCAGCCGGTCAACTATTGGACTCAACCAAGAGCGGAAGTTGTTGAAGAGACCCCGCACTGTCCGATGATCCAAACCCAAGATCAATCCAGTCTGATCTGGACTCATCTGAATGGGTGCAAGAAACAGCCAGAGAGCACCAACCAAGGAACGAAGGGCGATCTTTTTGCCGAAGATGTCCTGGTCTTCGCTCAAACCCGACTTAAATGCCCGACAATCCTTGTTCTTGCATCTAAAACAGGCGTGGTCTCCCTTGGACTCGACACGCCAGTTTGTGGCTGCACACCATTCACAAGCATCAAGTCCTCCATCTTTCACCATGCCCAAGTCAATCAGAATTTCAAGCAGTTCTTTGGGAGAAGAAGTCAAAATGCCGTCCAGAGAGAAACGCTGGGTCAAAGACGATCTGCTCAAAGTTGCTTATCTGCCTCTTTTTCGCTGTGGACTTTCCAGGATCAGTGTACGCACGTCGCGGCACCTCATTTTTGCTCCGTCCGATCATCTTCCTCATTCCGAGCTCCAGGTTGCCGTGACTTTGGAATTCTGGATCTAGTTCTGCGATCACGACCTGCTGGACCATCTGAACTTGCCCTCCAGCTTCCCAACGAGCAGCCATTGCTGTCGTCGCTGTTCGCGCCATAGCAGTTCCAAAAAGTTTGATCCAAGGAAAAGACTGCAATAACATTTTTTGAAACGGCACACCCCCCCCTCACACACACACACACACACACACACACGCAGACACACACACAGACACACAAACACACACACACACACAAACATACATTCATACAGACACGCACACACACACACACACACACACACACACACGCACACCCTCACACACACTCCGCACCCACACACCCTCTCTCACACTCAACGTCTCCCGTTTGCTGTATCCGCCCCACCGGGCCAGAGTGATGCGGACTAATTGAGCGCTGTCTCTTTTTAAGTCGCTTGTATTGGTGGATGGATTCTGGCCCGAATGGCCACGAATACTTGCCCTTGCGAGATCCAAGTGATTCGAAAGCTGGGCTTGGGTGGCTGCGGCTGCTACATCCTTCGTTAGCGCGAACCCTGTTCCATTCTTCCACGGTGGACATTGGGTGAGTCGTCGCCTTCTAGCGTCTTGAGGCTGACGCAATTGTGTGCTGCCCTTGCGAGGTCCACCTTGGAGGAAGCTGGGCTTTGGATCCGCGATCCTCCATGTTCGCGGCCTAGGTAGAAAACTGACCTCTGATGATGCTAGGTCGCCATTGCAATCACTGTCCCTGCCTTGATGGCCTTTTTGACACAAGTGGAATGTCTTCACATTGCCCTTGCGAGCCCCTTCTAAGAAGCTGGTTCTCTCGTCAGCGACGCTGGCCCCTTGTGTTGCCCTTGTAAGGCCCACATGTGTGGAAAGCTGGACCTCTGATCCTTGATCCACCTCGCTGCATATGCGAGACCCACATGGGTGGGAAGTTGGCCTGTGGTGTCAGGTCACCATGGCTGTCACTGACCCTGTCTGGCGGTTCGTTGACGCCACGGGATGCTCTTACGCTGCCATTGTAAGACCCTGATGGTGGGTGTATCAACCGACAGGCCGTCACGTACAATTGTGTGCAAAACACACGTGTAGGGGTAACACCAAATCTGCTGGGGCGGCCGCCCCTATGCTGTCTACTGTTGTCTGTGGCCTCTACAGGGGAGGCCCGCTCAAGCGAAGCCAGAATTGCTGGACTTTTCCAGCCCTACATTTGGAGTCGCGAAGCTTGCGATTTTCACCAACAGTGCAAAGCCTCTCGAACCGTCATTTGTGTGGTTTCGAGACAGAAACTGAAGCCTTCCAAAGCCTCCCTCGTGGGTTCGGAGCTTACAATCTTACCGTAGTCTCTGCACTCTTCTGGTCTTGTAGTTCCTGCAGCTTGCAGCTGTCCCTGCTATCTTGTGCTTCACGTTGGTAGATTTCTCGGCTTGCGCGTGTCATCCTTGCGCAGGGGCCACGCTAATCTTCTCTATCTCGTTCCTCCACCTTCGGAAAGCACACGGCAAACGAGAGTGCCTCAACTGCTGAAGCAGTGCGAGCTTCGCGAGAACATGCTTTGATTCATGCATGCTTTCACTGAAGAAGTGTTGACACCGTTTGGGACATGACCTGGACTACAATGCTAAAGGCAGCTCCATGCACAAAAACCGTGCATGGGTCCCGCCTCGCCGTTCATTTAAACTTTTAAAACCTAAACGGGGTGTGGGACCCGGCCCTAGAAAAATGGGACCCGGGTGGACCCAGGTGGGACCCGGATGGGACCCGGTGGGACCCGGTGGGACCCGGATTCAATCTGGCTAGCAAAGTATGGGACAACCAGATGAAACTTCTTGTGTGGGAAACATGGGACCCGGTAACACCCGGATAAGACCCGGCGAGCAAAAAAACGGGATTCGGTGACGCAGAAGGTGGGACTTGGATGGGCCCGGTGGGACCCGGTTGGGACTCCTCGCAAAAAGCGGGACCTTGTGACCGCTCAGATGATGTGGCCTCAAAACCACACGTTGATGTGGCTTGAGAACCACACGTTAAGTGGCCTTGATGTGGCTTCAAAACCACACGTTTGTGGCTTATGTGGCTTCAAAGCCACACGTTTGTGGCCCGGATGTATTAAAGGGGTCACCAGAAGCCTCGGACCTGAACGAACACGTGGGCTGCCTTTCTTCTTTCTTTACTACAGAGAATTCTAAGCCGGAGCTGGCTCCAAGTCCACTTGCTGGAGCTAGAAAAAGGCTTCAACAAGCTTCGATGATCTTGCAAGCTATTGGCTATTGCTGACTCCATAGAGCCATAGATCTTGGCAATCCTAGACAGGAGCTTCGATGATCGTGTCGCAGCGATGCATCCTAATAAACGTCAAAGATCTCGATTGGCTTAAAAAGATCCTCGAGATACCTCGATGACATTGCAAACTGACACTGATCTCCAGTGGATATAGAAGCAGGATGAGCCCAAGAAATGATGCTGCGGACGACCCCGTTTCTGGGCCCACGAAACGAAAGCAATTCTGGCTTCGCCACAATGGGCCTCCCCAGTTGCAAATCCGCTGGTTGTGGCATTTAAGGTGAGCGTGCAGCTGCTTTGGACAAGACTTCTGGCTTTTCAATCTTGCGTCTGCATGATGCCCAAAACTGCGGGAACAAAGGCAGGCAGGCGCACGCCCGAGATCCAGCTGGTTGGCCCCGAACATTTGCGATTTGCGACCCCAAAAATGGGGCCGTTTCGCGGCCCCGAAAACAGGGCTGCGACATGCGCCCGGCCTCATTAAATATATAGTTTGAGCATGAGTTGGAGGCTTGGAACCCCGACCCCAAAAATGGGGCCGCCAAACGGCCCCATTTTGGGGGGTCGCGAATTCTTCTACTTTGAGGCACGTCCGCCTGACTGCTACACAACAAGGCGACTGTGGCACACAGGCGCGCGTCCAGCTTGGAAAAAAACAAGCTTTCAGGATTAAGGCTTCCAAGCCTTGCTTTCTTATGGAAGTACATTAAATCAACATGAAAGAAACGGGCACAGGGGAGGCCCGCTCAAGCGAAGCCAGAATTGCTGGACTTTTCCAGCCCTACATTTGGAGTCGCGAAGCTTGCGATTTTCACCAACAGTGCAAAGCCTCTCGAACCGTCATTTGTGGGGTTTCGAGACAGAAACTGAAGCCTTCCAAAGCCTCCCTCGTGGGTTCGGAGCTTACAATCTTACCGTAGTCTCTGCACTCTTCTGGTCTTGTAGTTCCTGCAGCTTGCAGCTGTCCCTGCTATCTTGTGCTTCACGTTGGTAGATTTCTCGGCTTGCGCGTGTCATCCTTGCGCAGGGGCCATGCTAATCTTCTCTATCTCGTTCCTCCACCTTCGGAAAGCACACGGCAAACGAGAGTGCCTCAACTGCTGAAGCAGTGCGAGCTTCGCGAGAACATGCTTTGATTCATGCATGCTTTCACTGAAGAAGTGTTGACACCGTTTGGGACATGACCTGGACTACAATGCTAAAGGCAGCTCCATGCACAAAAACCGTGCATGGGTCCCGCCTCGCCGTTCATTTAAACTTTTAAAACCTAAACGGGGTGTGGGACCCGGCCCTAGAAAAATGGGACCCGGGTGGACCCAGGTGGGACCCGGATGGGACCCGGTGGGACCCGGTGGGACCCGGATTCGATCTGGCTAGCAAAGTATGGGACACGTGACAACCAGATGAAACTTCTTGTGTGGGAAACATGGGACCCGGTGACACCCGGATAAGACCCGGCGAGCAAAAAAACGGGATTCGGTGACGCAGAAGGTGGGACTTGGATGGGCCCGGTGGGACCCGGTTGGGACTCCTCGCAAAAAGCGGGACCTTGTGACCGCTCAGATGATGTGGCCTCAAAACCACACGTTGATGTGGCTTGAGAACCACACGTTAAGTGGCCTTGATGTGGCTTCAAAACCACACGTTTGTGGCTTATGTGGCTTCAAAGCCACACGTTTGTGGCCCGGATGTATTAAAGGGGTCACCAGAAGCCTCGGACCTGAACGAACACGTGGGCTGCCTTTCTTCTTTCTTTACTACAGAGAATTCTAAGCCGGAGCTGGCTCCAAGTCCACTTGCTGGAGCTAGAAAAAGGCTTCAACAAGCTTCGATGATCTTGCAAGCTATTGGCTATTGCTGACTCCATAGAGCCATAGATCTTGGCAATCCTAGACAGGAGCTTCGATGATCGTGTCGCAGCGATGCATCCTAATAAACGTCAAAGATCTCGATTGGCTTAAAAAGATCCTCGAGATACCTCGATGACATTGCAAACTGACACTGATCTCCAGTGGATATAGAAGCAGGATGAGCCCAAGAAATGATGCTGCGGACGACCCCGTTTCTGGGCCCACGAAACGAAAGCAATTCTGGCTTCGCCACAATGGGCCTCCCCAGTTGCAAATCCGCTGGTTGTGGCATTTAAGGTGAGCGTGCAGCTGCTTTGGACAAGACTTCTGGCTTTTCAATCTTGCGTCTGCATGATGCCCAAAACTGCGGGAACAAAGGCAGGCAGGCGCACGCCCGAGATCCAGCTGGTTGGCCCCGAACATTTGCGATTTGCGACCCCAAAAATGGGGCCGTTTCGCGGCCCCGAAAACAGGGCTGCGACATGCGCCCGGCCTCATTAAATATATAGTTTGAGCATGAGTTGGAGGCTTGGAACCCCGACCCCAAAAATGGGGCCGCCAAACGGCCCCATTTTGGGGGGTCGCGAATTCTTCTACTTTGAGGCACGTCCGCCTGACTGCTACACAACAAGGCGACTGTGGCACACAGGCGCGCGTCC